AACGCAAAAAAAAAAAAAAAAAAAAAAATATTACAAAGTGTTTCCCAGATGCCATGTTCAACCGTGTGAGCAGGCAAGAAAATGGACGCTAGGCCGTATTGGAATATGATCATTTATTACACAAACATGTATTGTATTTAAAAAAGAAAAAAAAAGATGAATGAAGCCACAGTTTTACAAATGCAGGAGATCTGAAAAGATTTCCCTTTTAGATTGAATAGTTCTAGGGCATTTTGTTCCAGAAAATGACCTCTGTTTGGGAAATAGCCTATTCACTTGAGTTACTAGATTGTGGCTGTTATTGGTGTAAAATGTCTCTTTTCCATAATGCATTTAAATTTTTTTTTCCCTTTTAGAATGAATTCTGGAATATATACAAAGGTGAGATGTTTTCTATTTCAGTCTTGAGTGAGAGGGGTTCATCAGGGTATTTAAATCGGGAGAGATTGTATTCAAATTTTGAAGATATTTCCTGAATTTCCTTTCTGCTCCTGTTTGTTTTACTTATCTAAGACTTTTCCCCTCTGAGTGTTTCCATAATAGTTGTCGTAAAATAGTTTTTTATAGTAGCTTTATACTAATTCTAGTTTTGTTACTTATATACATTTAAATCGGTTCATTCCCATTTGAGGATACCAAATTCCATAATTTTTTTAAACCCAAGTATATTAGGTAGAAACAAAAAATAAGAGTCTGAAACACTGGGTCCGCTCATAAGGTAACCACCTTGAGTTAATGCTTACAGCGTCTGAAATGGTATTTATCATAACTAATGTTTTCATTTCTGGTAACAGTATTCAGGTGTCTCAAGATGACAGCTGGGCCTATCTCTAAATTATATTGTACAAATGCCCCAAGAAATGTGAAGATGTTAGTGCTGTACAGGAGCTTCTCCTTCTCCTTTTACACCCAAACCATTGGAAATAGGAACCCTTTTGTCGATGCCCAGCCCAGAAACAAGTGTCCAGCAATCACTTATCCTCCCTCCTTTCAGCTGACCCCATGTGGGTCACAGGGCTCCTCTCCGTGATGGAAAAACGTTGTCAGTGATTGTAAAACCACTGTCAGAGGTCTCAGCAAAAATTGGAAAGCTCAGTCAGCAATCCAGCTAGATAGAGGCATCACGAGCACGTAGCCACAAAGCTGGGGGGTGGGGGGGGCAGTGGTAACGAAGTCCAGACAGGACAGCTTGTTTACAGGAAAACAGGAAGAATCCCAGGTTCATTCAAGTTAGCTGAGAACTGGGCACCAGAATCAGCACAGCAAAATCGTTTCCACGATGAGGGGAATTGCCTGCAAGCTGTGGTTTCCAAATGTTTTCTTTGCAGATGGTGACCAGTGTGAAAGCCTTCCTTGCCTGAATCAGGGCACATGTAAAGACGGCCTCGGGGAATACACATGCACCTGTTTGGAAGGATTTGAAGGCAAAAACTGTGAATTACGTGAGTTCCTCTTCTTCGTGTACCTTCAGGTCAGAGCCCCCTGCGGAGGCCAGGTGGGAATGCGGGGAGAAGCTAGAGGCCCAGGGAAACCCTATCCGGTCACGTGGGCTTCAGCCTGTGCTCCGTGAGGCTGTGCCTCTGCAGGCAGCGGAACACGAGTCAGAGTCCCCAGTGTGGAGGACGGGATACCGGGCACTCCTCTGCCCCTCTGAGGAGCGGCTGTGGAACGAACGTTCCCGAAGGGTGGGGCCCCTTCACGTGGAAACGAGAACCAACGTTTCTCTCCTCGGAGGAGGAGGTTTCTCCTGCTTCTCAGGACCCTGGAAATTCGTGCAAGTGTCAGTGCTGAATGCTTGGGATTGTCCAATTATAAACATTTGGTACAGTTAACTCTGCAGGGAAAAATCACTGAGTTTTCCTAATACAGTGATTAAGTTTTAATAAAAATTAGGTTAGAATTAGGCCAGTTTCTCCCTGAGGAGAAAGATTCAAGCTTCTTTTTTTTTTTTTTTTTTTAAAGATAAGAGAGCTTTGGGCAAGAAGACTTGAAATTAGACGGTTACAGATGAAGTAAGATAGTATGAGCAGAGGCACCGAGTTGGGACATGCGGGCCTCTCACTGCCGTGGCCTCTCCCGCCGCGAAGCACAGGCTCCGGATGCGCAGGCCCAGCGGCCATGGCTCACGGGCCCAGCCGCCCCGCGGCACGTGGGATCCTCCCAGACCAGGGCACGAACCCGCCCCCCCTGCATCGGCAGGCGGACCCCCAACCACTGTGCCACCAGGGAAGCCCCAAGGTTCTTTTTTAATTTCTTAATCTGTAATCTTTAGAGCATGCTCTTCGTTTGGATACTTATGAGTTTCCCCCAGTGGGAGTATCAGTCGTGCACCCTTCCGTCCATCGTCCGGAGTAGCTTCCCCAAATACCGTTTTGCTGACGCTGGGGCTGTCAGGAATGTTTTCTAAAATTTCTTTAATGTTTGCCCCGTAACTATTCTTTCATCAAAACCCAGTGGCGAAATGTAAAGTCAGCTGCCAGGGCGGCATGACTGATGAGTCTGGGGTCTGATGTCCGGTGCACGCTGGCGGGGGTGACGCTGGCACAGTCCGGCGGTGAGGTCCCCTGTGCCCGGCGCCTCGCGGGACCTGGACAGCTCTCCTGGGGGCTGGGTGGCCTCCACCCTTTTACAAGTGACGCGACAGGCCGTGGGGTTTAAATAACGTGCCCAAATCACACAGCTGGAGACCGACGGCCAACTGGGAGCCAGCCTGAGTCCGGGACGTGGCTACCACCCCTCCTTCCCGCCGCACGGGAGCCAGACCTCCGTCTGGGGATGGACCCCAGGTGCTTTATGCCACGGGGGACCGAGGCCTCAGACTGGACACCGTGGGCTGCTCTCGGCTCGGACCGAGCTCCCACCTCGCTGGCCAGCGCCGCCACACCCTTCTTAGGGCTGAACTTGAGACCCTCCAGCCTCCAGGCCTTCCCTGGGCTTGTGTGGGCTCCCTGGCCCCCGGGGCCCCACGTGGGCGGGGGAGGGGCCTGCCCGGGGCGCCGGCCCTTTGCTCCGGCTTGTGGGCACCGTGGCACCGGCGGGTGACGGCACGTCCCGGGCGGGCCGCGCCCTCAGCTTCCCGGCTCTTCCGCAGCCACGCGTGAGCTCTGCAGCCTGGACAACGGGGGCTGCGACCAGTTCTGCAGGGAGGAGCGGAGCGCGGTGCTGTGCTCGTGCGCCAGCGGGTACGACCTGGGCGACGACGGCAAGTCCTGCATCTCCGCAGGTAGGGGGTGGGCGCAGGCTGGGCTCCCCGTGGGGCTCGTGGTTTGGAGACAGACCCACTGTTTCTGTGAACCGCCTGAGAAACAGGCCAGTGCTGTCAGCTCTCCTGGGGGCACGTGGAGCGTGAGGGTAACGCGTGGAGGTCCCTTTGCCCAGTGCCCGGCTCGCACCGAATCCCAAATGGCCACTTTGCAGCTGCCACGATGGCGTCCCCGTCCCTCTCGGAAGGGCGGGGACTCGGGAGGCTGGAGTTACAAGGGCCGGAGCCGCGGGCCGGCCGAGGAGCTGGGGAGGGGGTGCAGGGGCCAGAAGGGGAACCCAGGGCCCTCCAGCACCGTTTTGGGTTGTGTGGGTCCCGATGTTAACGGAAGTTTTTTTCCGTGATAAAAGCCAGATGCCATGCATCTGGCCCAGAAGCTCACGGAGGGCTGAGTGAGGGCCTGGGTCCTGGGGGTCCTGGTGGTGGGAGAGGCCCCGTCTCACACTCCGTAGGGAGATCTGCCTGACTGAGACTCCTCTGCTGTGGGGCGGGGGCCGGCCACGCCCCTCTCAACTCGGGCTCCTTCTTGGGGTGACCCCAGCTCCTCCTCCAGCAGGCCCCAGCTGGCCCGTAGCCTTGGCATTACCTGGGGTGGTGAGGAATGCAGAGTCCCGGGCCCAATGCAGAGGTGGGCGTATTCCAGGGCAGCACCAATTGTGTAAAATTAAATCTCTCAACAGGTAGAGGACAGTGAGATTTACATTTCTATTGGTAATGAGATTTTTTTTTTTTTTTTTTTTTTTGTGGTACGCGGGCCTCTCACTGTTGTGGCCTCTCCCGCTGCGGAGCACAGGCTCCGGACGCGCAGGCTTCCCGACCGGGGCACGAACCCCTGCCCACCGCATCGGCAGGCGGACTCCCAACCACTGCGCCACCAGGGAAGCCCCCCCAAAAATATTTTAATTGAAGTCGTTGCTTGACATGCTTGCAAATTGTTTTTAATTCCAGGAATAATTACAGATCAAAATAAAGTTATAGATGTTTGAAGATAAAATCAGGCAGACTGCTTCCTGGCGCAGAAAGTCCTAGTCACGGACGAGCTGGGGCAGAATCTCACGGGGGCAGTGGCCACGAATGTCACGGCAGAGGCAGCTGGCGTGGGGGGTCTCTCCTCCAGGAGCGGGCGCACTCCCAGTGCGCCCGCGGGCCCGCGGGGCAAGCGCCCCCAGCAGCGCGCACGGGGTGCCGCCTCAGGTGTGCGGCCCCCAGCTCCCCTGCCTCTGTCCTGCTTCGCCCCCGCTCTGCCTCGGTTGCCTAGCTGCTAAGGATACGAAGAGGCACTTTTTGGTCTTTTCTGCCCCCGCCACCCGCCCTTGCCTGGCGCTTGTAAGGGTCGCTGTCATCCTTCAGCTGCTCCTGACAAAGCTCCGCATGCCGCTCGTCCTGCCCAGAACACTTCTTTCTCTTCAGCGTTTCGTTAGGAAATGTTTCCAACACACAGCGGGGCTAAGAGAACTTTAGGGGTTCAGCGCCCCAGCCCCCTTTCTGACATCCTGGTCTCCACGCACCAGTCGTGTCCCCCGCAGCCCCACGGTCCTCCGTCCAGCCACAGCCACCCGACTTCCACAGGCGTCGCAGTAGACGCAGAGCCCCTTCCACGCGTCCGCACGCTGGCTGGCCGGAGGTCAGGGCTCCCACCCGCAGCCCAGCCCTAGCAGGACACAGGGCGCCCCACTCCCCCGGGGCCCGCTTCTCGGGCTCCTCCTCGGAGTGGCCTGCGTGGGCCCTGCAGGGAGGCCTCCACGAGGCTGAGGCCCGACTGCCCTTCTTCCAGAGCCCTTCCCCTGCGGGAAGCTCACCCGGGGACGCGGCAGGCGGTCGGCCGCCCACGGCAGCGGGGAGGCCCCCGAAGCAGGCGTGCCGGAGCAGGAGCAGTACTACCGCGGAGACCTGGGCCCCACCGAGAGCTCCCTCCACCTGCTGGGCCTCAACGGGACGGAGCCCAGCCCCAAGGAGGACGAGAGCCACCTGGTCCGGATAGTGGGCGGGAGGGACTGCGAAGACGGGGAGTGCCCCTGGCAGGTAACCGCGCGCAGCTTAGCGGCCGGTCAGCTGGGTGGGGGCCGCCCCGCCGGGCGCCCGGCCCACGCGGGTCCGCAGCAGACTTGAGTGGGCGGCGGCGGAAGGAAACGAGGTCGAAGAGGCGGGGCCTCTGCCCTCGCTGCCCGGCCGCCCCTCCCACCCAGGCAGAGAAGGGGGTCCGGCAGCAGGGCGGGGGCCGCGGGCGGAGGGCGGCTCCCCTGAGGCCTCTGCTTCCTCTTTGGTTCGACTGGGAGGCGGAAAGAGTTGCTCTCCCTGTTTCATTTCTAATTTGGTAGATTGTTTTTACCCAAACACCCAAGTCCTAATGAGGCAGATGGTACCTTAGCAAAAACTATATCCATCTGTTTTCAAAGGTAAAAACTCACTCTTTGGTTGTTGATTTGGACTAAAGTTGCCAGACTTAGCAAATGAAAACACAGGTTTCCACTTAAATTTGAATTTCAGGTAAACAATAAATAACTTTTAATGTGAGTATGTCCCAAATATCACACGGGACACACACTGAAAATGATTTGCTATTTACTTGAGTCAGATTTAACTGGGGGCCTCTATTCTATCCAGAACCCTCACTTGGACTTTAAGTTTTTAGTGTCCAAAGCCAAAATGCCTTCTCCTACAAATAATATTCCCAGAGCTGCCAACAACCCTTAGGAATGACGTCAGCTGGCCCCCACCGGCTACAAGGCAGGTGTGCCTTTATCTGAATTATCACGAGCCCGAGCAAGGACACGCCAAAACCTAGTCACCATCCACGGAGAGCGTATCGTGGGTCAGGGCTGCCTGGGTGTTGTGCGTGTGGGTCTGAAAGTGCCAGGGCCTCTTCTCTCACGTGTGGCATCACGACCTAGGAAGGGAGGTGAGCCCCCCACCAAATCCCCACAATTCAAGCTGCTGCGTGAGAGGGCCAGGAACGTGGTACCCGTGGAGCACGTGAATTCCCACTGGGAAAGGAGGGCGGCTCCCCACAGGGCGGGGCAGACACGGGGCTCTGAGAGGGGCTCGCATGGGGCTCTCCGAGGAGCGGACAGGAGGAGCCTCACGGGAGGGTCCCCAGACTTGGCCAGTTGCCTCATGTCCGTCTCCAGGAAGGACGGTCAGTGTCCCAAGTCTTAGGAAGACTGACCCTCCTCACTTGTCACACAAGTGGGGTTATGAGTTGATAAATTATGCAAAAACATAAACAAAACATCACGACTTCATGCTTGTCGTGAACGTCCTCCAAAGTTCTTTTAGAACTTGACATTGTTAAGAGTTTCATTAACCTGCCCCCTCTCAACGCATGGCTGTCGCTTAGAGAAGGGTGAATCCCCAGAGAAGGGAAAGCAGAAAACGCTCCCTCCGCATTTGCCGGCCCAGTTCTTTGGGGAGAAGGAAAATGGGGGAAGGGTCTGTGCTCTCACTCGCCCAGTCAGCACCCCATCCCTGTGGAGTGTTCCCCGCCCCACGTCCTGTCAGGAGCAGCCACGTGGATCCCAGGAACCGGCCTTGAATGGTAGCACCCACAGCCGCGGGAGGGGGTCCGGACGGTGGAAGCGTCCTCAGGTCCAGCGTAGCAAGTGTCTCGTCCAGAGCCTGGCGTCTGCCTGGTCTGGGGCCTAATTCACACCAGAGACAACAGACAGCAGTTCTTCTGCACATAGAGCTGCCGAGGGGCCTTCCAGAGCCGGGAAGTACAGACGGGTAGGGCCTGGATCCGGGTGGGGAGAAGCCCCCCAGCCATAGCGCTGGGCCCTCGGCAGGGCCGTGGGGTCCACGGTGGGCCTGCTCCGAGAATGGGCGGCGCTGGGCAGCACGGCCCCTGGGGGTGGGCGTGGGGCTGCGCTGGCCTGGTCCTCGTTCCAGCCCGAAGACCCCATGAGTCCTCCCGGGGGGCAGGCCCGCTGTGGTGGGGAGACGGGGAGGAGGCTTGGGCTAAAGGTCTCAAAGTCAGGCTCCACCTGGCACCTCTGGCCCTCCCATCGCAGGCTCTGCTCGTCAATGAGGAGAATGAGGGCTTCTGCGGGGGCACCATCCTGAGCGAGTTCTGCGTCCTCACTGCAGCCCACTGTCTCCTGCAGGCCAAGCGGTTCACGGTGAGGGTAGGTGAGTGCCGCTCACACCGTGCGGGGCCCCCGGGTTTCAGAGGCACTAGGACTGATAGGCTGGCCAGAAACGCTAGTTCAGATACTGAGGTCCCGAGGGGGAGAGGGAGGCCGGGGGACGAGGGGCTCCCCTGCCCCCTGCATGCAGGGTCCGCAGTGCCCTCTCCTCCGGGAAGCCCCCCAGAGCCCCCAGCCGTCTGAGCAGCCGCCACCGCTGCCCCACATTTGCATCTGGGGGACTATTTCGTAGCGTCCCCCCTCTCACCACACCCTAGAGCTGCTCCACGACAGTCCAGGGCGAGCCACGTGCCCGAGCCACGGCTGTAATGTCTAGCTTCCTAGTTACCTTACGTCTTCTAGTTTTAAAGTCCACAGGTGATACTCATTTCGGTCCCACACCTCATTACCCAGTATAGCCAAAATCGTGTCAGTTCGACCTGTAATCGGCTTGTAAAGTCCTCTTGAGGTATTTTGAGTTAGTTTTTCATTCTGAGATTTGGCACTCATGGCACATGTGGGCTCTGATCAGTGCCCAGTTGGCCCCGTGGCTGGGGGTAGGTCCGGCAGGCCGGACCCGGTGCCCAGCCCCACCCGCGGGCAGACCAGGGGAGGGTGGCCGCTGCCCCCGGCGGGGAAGCCGTAGGCTGTCACACTGGCCTCGCTCCAGTCGCCTGTATTTCACATTTCCTAGTGACCACGTGCCAATCTCTAAGCAGAAAAAAAGTGGAACTGCTTTAAAGCGTCAGTGACGTGCAGGGCCTGGCGGCCCCCAGCTGACGGCCACGTCCCCGTCCGCAGGCGACCGGAACACGGAGAAGGAGGAGGGCAACGAGATGGCACACGAGGTGGAGGTGACCGTGAAGCACAGCCGGTTCGTCAAGGACACTTACGACTTCGACATCGCGGTGCTGCGGCTCAAGACGCCCATCAAGTTCCGCAGGAACGTGGCGCCCGCCTGCCTGCCCGAGAAGGACTGGGCCGAGGCCACGCTGCTGACCCAGAAGACGGGCGTCGTCAGCGGCTTTGGGCGCACGCACGAGCGGGGCCGCCTGTCGTCCACGCTCAAGATGCTGGAGGTGCCCTACGTGGACAGGAACACCTGTAAGCTGTCCAGCAGCTTCACCATCACCTCCAACATGTTCTGCGCCGGCTACGATGCGCAGCCCGAGGACGCCTGCCAGGGCGACAGCGGCGGCCCCCATGTCACCCGCTTCAGGGACACATACTTCATCACTGGCATCGTCAGCTGGGGCGAAGGGTGCGCACGGAAGGGCAAGTACGGCGTCTACACCAAGGTCACCAACTTCCTCAAGTGGATTGACAAGTCCATGAAAGCCGGGCTGGGGGCGGGGGCCAGGGGGAGCCGCGCCCCCAGTGAAGCCCCCCCCTGTCCCTCGCAGCCCCTGCCTCTCCCTCCTCTCAGCACCGGGGCCCTGAGCCGGCCTCCCTCCCTGCCGTGATTAGAGCTGGGTCGATTCCTTATCCTGCTTCTGTTTTTGCTCCACCGAAGTGGGAAATGAAGGTCCATTTGGAACCCGGGACCCTGCCTTCCCGTCGCCACCTGGGAGGTTTCAGGATTCGGGAGGTGCTACCCACATAGGATGGGCCAGGGCTCCCAGACCAAGTCTTAAAACTGAGAGGCCTTTTCTGTTCACAGCACGTTTCTCTGTTCTGGAGGCCGCCAGCTGCCCTCCTGGCTGCTCACAACAGTGCTGAGTAAACCAGCAGGGTTCTGGGAGCACAGGGGCGCCAGGGCCAGCCCCCTCCCCGGGGTCGGGTGGGGCTTCCCCACACGTGCCCTCCTGGCCCCCAGTCACCTCCCAGGAGAGGCAGGCTCCCTGGGAAGGCAGGCCCAGAGGGCTCGTCGGCAGGGACATTTTAATGTTGACCTAAAGACCGACTCTCTACGTGGCTTCACGGCCGCGTCCCCGGGGGCCCCACCGCATGGGCTCCGGAGCCACTGGCATGCCCCCGGGTGTGACTGTCGCCAGGCCGGGGCTCTGGAGTCTGCCTCTAGGCCACAGCCCAGAGCACGAACCCAGCTCTGGCTAGCCCCTGCCGCCCCCCTGCTACCCTGCTCGCGAGGTGTGTGCTGGGGGGCTGCAGGAGGGCCGCCCCTCCTCCAGTGGTCACAGCCCAGGTCGAGCCCTCCCGGCCGCACCAGCTCCAGGCCCTCAAGCCAAACAGGGAGCGGGAAGGCAAACGGCCAGGAAAAGCAGACATGCTTCTAGAAAAAGCAGTCACCTCAGACAGGACGTGCCGTGTTTCCCGGTACCGTTTGCATTTTGCGTAACTCGGCTAAGCAAACTTTCAAAGTTCCAGTGCAAGAGCCCCCAAGGTCACTGGCTGGGCAGTTGAGTAAACAGGAGATCTGCACGTTTGCAAAAATCAACGCAAACGGGCTTCCCAGAAACGGTCAAGCCAGAGGGTCCGTTTCTGCGCGTCCCACCTTGACCTCCTCAAAGGGAACCGTCCCGCAGAGAAGGCCTCGGACGGCCAGGCCTTGCATGCTGGGGACGGGGGGGTCTCTGTCCAGAGCAAACCTGGATGGGCTGTCAGCCCACAGGTTGCCTGGGGTCCGGAGAGAGCTCTGGGGGAGCCCTCCTTCCCGCCAGGCTGGCATCTCTCACCAGCGGGGCCGAGCCCACAGGTCAGAGAGCAAGGGCAGCTGGGCACCTGGGAGCGGAGGGCAGAGGGGTCCCCACCGCCCGAGGCGCTGAACCTTCCCCGTTGGGAAACAGAGCTGGACTCAGTGAGGTTCCAAAGGGAACTCGGGCAGTGTGGTAGGGAGGCCGCTCGTCTGGTTCACACGATGCTGGTTCCGTGGGCCCTGGGACCACGTGCCTCAAAGCTCGTCTCCAGGTGGACCTGAACCAGGCCTGTGCCCTGTGCGCACAGTCGGTCCCGCTCCACTGCGTGTCCCCTAGAAAGTCTCCTCCGGGGACAGACGTGAGCAGGAAGCCGACCGTGAGGAACCATGGGGAGCGGGGCGGTCAGGGTCTGACTGTCCCTCCCGAGAGTGAGGGACCGCTTACCGGTACCCGCGGTCCCTGAGGGGGCAGGGTGAAGACACGCCTGGGGCAGAGCCGCGTTTGGAGCGGGCGGGCAGAGCGGCTGTATGGCGGCGGGGTGGCAGGGGGAGGGGTCGGGCTTAGAGAGCCGGAGACCTGCAGACGCAGGGTCCCTGGAGGCCTCCGCCCACTGCAGGTGCAGACCCCGGCCCTTGGGGCTGGAGGGTGATGTTTCCGTTCTAGAAGGATCCTCACTACAGCCACCACGAGACCCTGATGGAGGTACCAGAGCCCTGGGGAAAGTCATCCCGAGCATCGAACTTGAATTACAAACAGGACGGGGTAGCTCTGCATCAGGAGAGCCCGGGGCGCATCACCGAGTGGGGGTGTGCCCTCACCGACGATGCGGACCGGAAGCAGGGCTCCTGCCAAGAACGGGGTTCAGCCCTGGTCGCCAAGGTGCCTATGTCAGAAAGAACAAAACAGCTGGGAAAAACACACTACACAAGCCTTCGAAGGAAACCAAGAGGATGCGGGGAGAGAGGGCACCGTGCGGGTGCTCGTCAGGGCCCCCTTAACAGGAGGGAAGCCCGGTGTGCAGGCTGCCGGCGGAGGGAGGGAGAGAGACAGACAGACAGAGACACAGAGACAGAGAGTCAGAGACTGAGATGGACAGAGGCAGGGCACCCCCGGGGGGCCCCGTGCTGACCCGCTCGGTGAGGGGGGGATGAGTTTGCTGTCCCCTCAGACGGAGGTCAGAGTATCTACCCCCTTGTGGTGCTGAGCGAGGCTCTTCCCGAGCGTCCCCCAGGCCCGCTTCCCCGTGGCACTTGGTGCCCCAGGAGAGCTGGTCTCACCAGGAGGTGGTGGGCTCCCCAGCCCTTCACAGGAGACCCGCTGGCCCGGCCTGGTGGGCGCCAGCCCTCGAGGGTCTGCCTTAACCCCCCGGGGACGGGGTGTTAACCTAGGACGGTGGCCACCACCTGGCTGGTCTTGCCCATGTTCATCTCCGGCACGGAGTCGGCATGCGTGCGGAGCCCCGGCAGGCGGGACTTCAGGGCCTGCAGCCTCACCAGCTCCCTGAGGATCACGCAGCTCTCCCGGAACCCAGAGACGGAAGGCGCTGGGGACCGTGGGCCACGCCCTCCCCGCGGACCCCGGGCCAGGTCTCTGCAGACGGGCAGGGCTCCCAGGCCACTGGCGGGGGCAGCCCGTCCCCCTCCCCCCCCCCCCCCGCCCCGGGGCAGGGGGTCGCTGCCCGGCTCTGTTCGGGTTACCCCCCCACAGGGAGCCTCTGTGACCGGCTTGTCCAAGGCGACCCACCGCGCTGTGCCGCCTTATCTGCTCGGCTTTCCGTGTCGGCGAAATGTGCCACTGCGTCTCCCCGCCCCCGCGGCCCAGGCCCGGTTCCCGTGGGACGCCTCGGCTCCCGACCCCCGACCCCCGACCTCCGACCTCCGACCTCCGACCTCCTTCGGAGGGGCCGCCCCAGCTCCGTCCCTGTCGGCCTCGGCCTTTCATTTCTCTGTCTTTCCCTCTCTTCGCCTTAAACGGAAAAAGGCAGGACTGAAGCCTCTATTTAGGACACTGAAGTGCCCGCTGGCCTCCGCGGGCGGCCTTTCTCTGCGGGGCTGGTTTCCCGTCCGCACCCGCTCCGAGCCGAGCCGGGCGGGGACTCTGGCCGCGCGCTGAGCATGGCCGGCCGCGGGCCGCCGCTCGCCCTCCTCGCCCTCCTCGCCCTCCTCGCCCTCCTCGCCCCGCGCGGCGCCCAGCCCGCAGGTAGGCGCCACCTTGAGCATCCTTTCTGACTCAGGCTTGCGGGTGGGTGGGTCGGGGGCTTTTTCTGGGAGCCGAGGGCCCCCGGCGGGACCAGCATGATCTGAGCCCAGCTTCCGGTCTCTTCGCCGTTCGTGACGAGTATGTTGGAAGTGACCGTGTCCCTCGGGGGCCCCGGGGGCCCAGGTGGAGCCGGCCGCCGGGTCCGGGGCTCAGGACTGGGTAGGGCACGGCTTCTGGGGGAGCCGGGAGGGCACCCCAACCCCTCATGCCCCCCGCCCGCGGGCCTCTCCCCGTCCTCAACCTTCCTTCACATTCAGACCCAAACCAGCGACCACAGATGGGGGACCCTGGAGCCCTGCCGCCCACGCGGCCGACGCACCCCCCGCACCCCCCGCACCCAACCGGCGGCCAAGGTCAGGTCGCCAGGAGCTCAAAACACACCATACTGCAGAGGTTTAGCACAGAAATCAGAATGCAAACTCAAATTAATAGTTTTTTAACAATTGTTGTGTACTGAAACAGAAGTATTTTGGATCTATTGGGTTAAATAAGTATATTATTTAAATGATCATAACCTCTTTCCTTCGATGTCCTAAATGTCCTGGGACACTCGTGACCACAGTACCTGCATCCACTTCTCTCGGCTGTGCTGCCCACCTCAACCAAGGCTCCAGCCACCGCACCCCTCCCACCCTCCCTCCACGCAGCAGACAGGGTGACATCAGATACCTCTTACAGTCAGTCGAACCTTTAGAATAAAACCCAAAGCTCGGAATGAGGCCTCAGTAAGAGACACCACCCCCCCACCGCCCCCGGCAGCACACAGCTCACAACCGCGTACAACTGTGCACAATCGTGTACGAGGTAAACAGCCGAAGCAGCCTAACAAAACGAGGACTCGTGAAACGCTGTCCTGGAGGGGCCATAGATCAGACACCCAGAAAAACCCTCCCGGTAACACTGAAAGCAGAGTAATTAGTTTATCCCATGTTTGCTACATGCCCCTGCCTGGCACAAGGGGAAAGACCAATGGGAGCAAAAGAATGAACGAGGCAGTGGAGCACGCCCACCACCCTCGGCTCCCCTGGGAGCCCGGGACCCCGCAGCCCCAGGCGCAGAGCCTACACGGCGCGAGGGGACCCAGGAGGAGACCCCACCCCAGCTCAGACCTCGCTTGGCACCACGTGGAGGAAAGAGACAAGCTCCGCGGCGGGATGCTGGTGCTGGATGGAGAAAGAAAACTCTCCGGAGAAGCGGTCACTGCAGTTGGCCCAGGGGTCTGCGGCGACTGCTTGTGACTGCAGTGACACCCCAACGATCCAGGGTCACGTCGGGGGGAGCCATGGGTCCTCGTTGCCTCGGGCTCCCTTCTCAACCTGGGGCCTCTCGTGGTAAAAGAAAAACCCAAACACACAAGGAAAGAAGACAACCAGAAACTTGCAGGAAAAAGAGTAGAATCAGACTCACAAAAACCTTGATACCCAGACTCAGAACACAGGAGATGTGATAGAGATACGACAAGAAACCAGGAGACATTAAAATGCCCAAACAGATGTGAAAAAGAATCAAACAGGACTTCTGAAATGGAAAAACTATTCATTGGAATTTTAAAATCCATTCAATAAATGAATCAACACAAAGCATTCAGGGAAAGGATTCTGCTTTACAGCAGAATGCCGATTAGTAAGTGCAGAAGGACGGGGGCGGGGGGGGGGGGGGGGGGGGGGGCGTGAAGTCGCTCTCCTGCAATTAAAACCCGTCACAACTGGTTCAGGAAAATCTACTTCATTGACGCTGAAAACACTCAGCTAAAGGCTGTTGGGGGCAGGACATCCCTGTCCCAAAACATCTTCCTCACAGTGGAGAAATCTGTGGCCACCATCTATGCAGTGTCCCCCAAACTCCACGTTTACCCAGAACTCAGAATGTGACCTTAGCTGCAAATAGGGTCTTTGCAAGTGTATTAATTAAGAGGAGATCATCCTCAGTTAGGGTGGGCCCTAAATCCAATGACTGGTGTCCTTATGAGGCAGCTCTACTCAGTCCTCCCCGCTGTGATCCTCACCCTCATATTCCAGAATGACGCTCAGAGCTCCAGCCATCACATCTGTGTCCCAGGTAGCAGGATGGAGAGAGGGACAAAGAAACGGCCAGGGGCCACGCCAGTTGTCTTTTTCAAGAGGGCTCCCAGGAACCTGCCGCCTAGCCCTTCTGTTTGCATCTTGGTGGCCAGCGCTCAGCCATGCGGCCACCCTTAGCACCAGGGGAGTCTGTCTGCGCAGCCGTGTGCGCAGCTAGAAATCGGGGGCTCTTGTCCTGGCAGAGGACTGCCCAGGGGGCAGCCTCTCAAGCCCGGTCTCCACCCCTTCCTCGCGGGCTCCCACCCTCCTGTTCTAAGCTCACTCCTACTCACCTGGCTACACGTAAGGGGCCTGGGGCCCAACGTTGTGGTGAGCAGGAGGCAAACTTCCTCCCGGGTCTGAGGGTCAACCGTTGGGTCTGCCCCTCCCAGCACCGCAGAGCCTGGCCCTCAGGATGCCGGTGGGAGTTCTTGGGTTGCCCGCCTACGCTGAGGCGCCTACACGCCTGTCTTGCTCTGCAGTGTTTCTTCCCACCTCAAAAGCAAATGAAATTCTGGTGAGACGGAAACGAGCCAGCTCCTGCCTTTTGGAAGAGCTCTTTGAGGGAAATTTAGAAAAGGAATGTCACGAAGAAATCTGTGTCTACGAGGAAGCACGAGACGTATTTGAAAATGACGCCTCCACTGTGTGTGTCCCCCGTGCCACAGACTCACACGCTCTCCGATTATTCCGCTGCCTTAGAGGACATAGTTTCTCAAAGAGGCTGAACTAAATTAATTAACCTATTTACTTACCTGGGAGGTTGATCCAAAGAACTTCTCTCATTATCTATAACTTGGATTACAAGCAACAACACATACACTCTAAATAATACAACTGAGAACTTGCCATTCTCAATTACTCAAAAGCTTATCAATCAGTAGACAGAGGGGCTGAATATTTGTGTGTAAATATTTCAGAATAGTAAAATACATAATAAAGACTTCCCAGTTCTACATATTAAAGCAGCAATATTTAAAGGTGATTCTGAACAAAATGTTGACCCGTTTCTCTAATATATTTTAAAAGTATTTTAAAATCATAATTTCTTAAATGCCCATGTATAAGAAAATGAAATAGACCATCTTTAATCAAACTAAGAGAAATTAAAACTTCCTGGTAAAGTTGTGCTTGAGTTGTTAGAAGTCCGAGTATGATTTGGGGAGATGCAATTACTTATATGTCTATCCTCCAGGCCTTAAGTCTGAGTAATTCTCCTAATTTTAGATACCGCCACCCCAAATTAACATCCCCCCCCACATACACACTTTAAAATTTTAATCCTTGTTGAATTGGTTTTTATAAAAACAGAAAAAGTGATGTGAATGTTTTACATCTGCCTCAGGCACTCTGCAGAGTGGGGCCATGGAGACAGGCCCGGAGGGAAAGGGCCTCGCGGGGCCGTGGTGTTTGTGCCACGTCTTAGACTGTTTTCGCTTCCTCAAATGGGTCACCGTAAATAAATACTGAATGGGACACGGGACATGGGTGTATTAAAGATGATATTAAGTAGATGTAAAGAATTTTGCATTCTTTGTTTCAACCAGTATTTTCCTATGAAGTGAATAAAATCAACATTTTCATATTTTCAAGCCCGGCCACAGGAGAGAACATGGAAAAGCAGATGTCCCACTTGTAACGCTCTTCTGCTTCTCTGGGACAGGACGAATCCTGCAGACGTACCCGGGTGAGCGCCCCCCCACCTGCCCCAGGACTCTTTCCTCCTCCCTCTAAGGTCAGGGCAGCCAGTCGGCTCACGAGGGCCGCTAACTTGAGGCCAGTGGGTTCCAGAGTTCGAGCCTTGGGCTCCTGGAACCCCTGACCCAAAGGAAGGGCCTGGCACTGCCCGAGGACGAGGACGAGGGTGGGAAAGGCCCCGGGGTCCCGCCGGGATCAGGGGGAAGCTGGAGCGGCCTCCCGGGCTCCCGTGGGCCTCGTGCTGAAAGGTCAGACCCGGTTGAGGAAGGCGAGGCTTGGGGGATGCTGGGCGTCCCTGCGGGGACCACAGTGACAGGAGAGCTCGAGGAGGCGCCGGCGCTGGTCACGTGGCCGCCCAGCAAGGAAAGGGGGTCCTGGAGGGACGTCGGAGGGTGTTACCCGCAGGGTGTCCTCACGTCCCTATCGGCAGGCGGCTCCCCGTGCGTCTCCCGGCCCTGCCTCAACAACGGGTCCTGCCAGGACAGCATCCGCGGCTACACCTGCACCTGCGCCCCGGGCTACGACGGCCGGGACTGCGCCTTCGGTGAGCGCCCCCCGCCCCCCCACTCCCGCCCGGCCTCCGCCCCGCCCCCACCCTGGCCGCACCGAGCCCCGGCCCGGGGATGAGCAGGAGGAGGCCCGTGGGAACCCACCCGGCTTTGCGCTGGGAATCACACCTTGTGAACGGCCCCCTGTTTCCCCCGTGGGGTCCCCTCCTCTTGCTCCCAGC